CCAGGCGATAGATGAACTGCGGAGTGTAGGAACATTAGCTTAAATTCGGATTGCAGTGGCAATTGGAGGAGCATAAGAGAGCGATGTGGGGAGTGGAGATGGAGAAGGCCCTGGCAGAGGATAAGGAAATCATAGAGAGATAGTTACATTGTTTTGATCAGTCTACAGTATTGTTAAAGATATTTTTTGTCTTTGTTGTTAAGAGATATCTGCAAGTAAGGGCCCGGGCTGTGCACTTGCATTCGTTGTTCCTAACCAAATTTCGATTGCTCTTGCTGCGCCCGGCGCTCGATGTTTCCTGACCCAAACACACACGGACACGGACACTTACACTACCTCTGTCGGGGCAGAATAAGGACACACAGCTACACCCAGGACACCCAGAACACACGGCTAAACACAAACACAAACAAACACAAACACACACCAGACCAAAATGTAGGCGAAGGCTTTTCACTTAGACGTGAGAATTTTGAGAGATGCGAGGAGCAGAGGGAAAATGTTGGTAGACAACTGCTAGGCGAAAGCATTAAATACTTTACATTGTATTACATAATTTATTTATTCTGACTACACACCCACCCCCGCCAACCCTCCCACACACGCGGATATTTTTGTTATTAAGTTGTATGTATTTATTATCATTAATATCGAGTTAGTCAACATTCTATTTATAGTTTTCCGCTCGCTTTTGCTCTAATCGCTCAAGGAATTGGTTTAACCTACTACCGAAAACCATATCCATTAGTTTAGTCCCTACCATGGCTAAATAGTTATTTGGTGTGCCACAGAAATCTCTGCAAACCGACTTGGTGCGATTTTATTTGTCTCTTCTCAAGACTAAATCCATTTGCTCTGTAGAGATCTCTGCGGCTCCCCGAATAAATAAAAGTATGCGACTTTTTTTTAAGTAAGACGTGTTCGGATAGTCGTTGACATAGTTTTTTTTTTGGTATAACCGATGTTTGAATCACCAAATCGAGTCTACCGACTTTAAATTGTAATGATTATCGTACATGCCTGAAAAGAACTTGGAATATTCCAATTATTATTCTAGGAATAGCTGAACCAACCATAATTTTATATCTTAACCTACGGTTTCCTCTTTTTTCCATTTACACTCTAATGAGACATCCTCTTGTGTCGTTTCGTTTAACAATTCAGAAATATGTAAAACCAAGCTTAACCCATTGATGCTCAGGCAAAAACTTTGCGCACAGACAAACCAATCTATTTATAAACTCTCCAAACTGAGATTTCGGACTCCAGAGGCGGAAAACTGGATGGCTTGACATCGATTTTTGCTAGGCGCTGTTGGTATATTTTTTTAGTTGTTGTTAGTTTTTGTAAGCGATGGAACATACATTTTGTACTCTTAATTTGACATTAATTTTTTTTGGTCGTCTTAGTGTGGAAATTTGATTTCAGAGATATGAATTTCTGTTTACTATTTTATTCAGCTGCAAACAGTTAACGGGAATCTTTAGGGAGAAAACAACAGAAACAACAACAAGTCACATTATTATATTATATACACATAAATATATCTACGTAGTTCTATATATACAAATATCCTTATACATAAAATATTTTTTTTTAATCCCTATTTAATTTAGCGGTAGCGTTTTTAATTGATAAGTTTAAGATAATAGTTTGTTTTATACCAAATACACAAAAAACATTAGGCGATTCTAAGAACCCTATTTATGCACACCCAAACACACACATACATACATCTATGCACAAGTGTATAGTTTTATGAATATATATATATGAATTACATGTATTATTTTTTAAACCAACCACCTGTTTTCCTCATTTTATATTTTTTAACGTGACTTGAGGACGGGCAGAGATATTTTCGAGGCCTACTTTCGGGCGCAAATAGGATACACTCTCCAGATCTGCCGGCCTCGTGGGCGGTTAGCTGTAGTAGGCGTGGCAATGTTTAGAGCTATGGATAAAGCAACGTAGGACATGAAGCGAAGATGTTGGAATAGATGCTTGGAATAGAATGTGCAAAAAAGATAGAAATCGTATATAAATACACTCATATATAGGGAGCATAGCCAGACATACATACACATATGATACAAGTATACAACCACAGGAACTCACACACACTCAGACAGACGCACACACGCACACACGCACACACAAGGAGCGTACGATCCAGTAATACATATGTATACCTAGAGAAGCAGGACGACGAAAGAATTCAATTAGTGAAAAATCAACAAACAACCACAAATTGTAGCCTAAATTACCAAAACAAACAAACAAACAATATATTTGTATGCCATATATATAATATATATATACACAATACATATACATACACATATACAAATACAAATACATATATATAGATATCTATATATACTGGAGCCTTGTTCCTGCTGGGCCACTGCAAGGACACATATATATTTCTATAGGCAAATTGAAGGAACCACAGGAAGCAACCACAACCGAAAGCAATTCAAGCCAGTTTGTATTATAGATGGGAGGCGTTCAATACTCTGGCGCCTTTTCCAGCAGAGTACAGTCAGCCCACACTAACAGGAAAACACGAACGAACATACACACTATTGCCTCTGAATACGAATACACGTTAAATGATGAACGATGAAGGATGAACACGTTTTTCCGCTGGTTTCTGTTGGACTAATGATCAAAAACTGTGGATCCCCATCCCCTATTGTATTTTGTAGAGAAATCTAATAACGTTTAAAAAACACCATTTCATTCCAGTCTTGTCAATGTCCTTTGGCTTGATAATTTCCATATAGTTGTTAGTTACGTGTACGTCTGTAAGCCTACGGTCTGAACTTTTCTTCGATGTTTGCTTTAAGAAATACATTTCAATAACATTGTAACGTAAAACTGAAAATCCACGACACCACAAGCGCAAAACTAACATTAACCAGAGCAAGAACAAAATAAATAAAAAAAAAAAGAAACCAGAATGAACAACAAGAAAACAAGATCAATAAAACAAATCCAATATAATTATTGTTTATTACTAGACTAATAAATGTATTTTTTGGCAGATTACAAACAGTGTTGTCGATTCATTTGCGCACATTTCCCCGATTTCCCTGGAAGGTTTTCATCGTTGCAACAGCAAAACCAGTGTTATTACTGGTTTTACCTACTACTATCTTCGATCCAGACCAAATCAAGTTCACACGATGCGGCAATAAAACAAAAAAAGCCGTAATGTGATTACGATTTTATCGACTAGAGAATAACCTATAAATTTACTTCAAACGATTTCTTAGGTATCCAAGGATTTTTTCAACAGTTTTAATAAATTTATATACTGATCGTTGCACTTAGAAATAAAGATAATATTTTTCGACAATAAGGACAGGCGAACGGACAGCCGAACGGACAGTCGAACGGACGGACAGTCGCACATAATCCTGATCAAGAATATCTATACTTTGCATTTTTACCTTCTTTACTTCTTTACTTCTATATACATTTATAAACACAGTAGTTCAGATAATGTTTGTTGCTTTTACGCGGCTTTAGTATGGCTTTTGTCTAGGGTATTACTGCTTCGATTAGTCGCTGAGGGTATGAGCATGATAATCATCACCAGCACGTACTCTCAAGTCTGAGAACTGAAATCAAATGTGATCACAGAAGTGACATTGACGTGAACTGCCCTGAACGCTGAAATACGAAATATTTGGTCGGGCAATTAAGTTAATCGCCGGTTAAATTGTTAACTCAGATATAAGTACGCAAATATGTATGTGGGCATGTGCACAGAAGAAAGCGAGATACACTTATGCGCTAATTAGTGCCGCCATATGCATGCCTACTTACATGCAAACATATGTATTCTAGGTGTATTTGCGGTTGCCTATGAGGTCATAAGCCCTGTGACTCAGTTAATTTGGCCCAAAAGCTTTATCAACAGGTGTCAGGCTATATTCCACTCTATATTTGCTTGCCGTCTTTGTTTTCGCTTGGGTTCTTTTTGCTTTTTGCCTTCCGAAGGGGGCGGCTAATCATATGGGCGTCGCTCGCCTAAATATAACAATTGTGTGGGCGTGGCCCAGGAAGATGACGTACCCGATCTGCTAATTCAGCTTGTTTATCGTTAGTCACTAAAACTGCGCAGCTGCGTGCGAACAACAATTTACCAAATGCACGATCGTAAATGCCACGAATCGTATTTATGTATAAATGCTGGCTAATTCTTCCGAAAAATCTTTGCGTCGATTTTCCTTTCGATTTTTCTTAAGAATTGTATTCCTAAGAAAAAAACACGAAATAAATAATGTACATTTAATTATTATTTTATTTTCGTTTCCAACAATTCGTTGGAAGCCTGAAAAGACCATCACTTATAATTTTAGGTACTGGAAGCCAACAAATAATTTAAAGTATTTATAAAGCCGAATCTATTGCGCTTATCAGTTTAATCTGGAAAATATATGTAAATTTCTTACCTCTAAAAAAAGTATTGAAACGAAGTATGCACGCATTACTAAAATTTATATTTTGACAAATCCAAAATGAACAGAAAGAATGCTGCATTTCCTGGGAGTATATGTTGATTAAAAAACAAAATATGCTTTAAAATTCTTTAAAACCTGCCTATCAACATCCTTAGGTATAAAATTCCAATAGTTTCCTAGACGAAAATGTTAAAGGTTTTAGACCGAATTGATGCGAATGTAACTTACTATTCTTCGTTGTTTTTTCTCTAGTCCTTGCCGGTTTAATTCAGTAGTTACGGTCTGTTTGTGGATCATACCCTGCCTGATAAACTCATTGAGTATCCTGTTAACTGGGCCAATTAATCGTAATTACTCGCAAGTATTTGCTGTGTACAAATGAGTACAAGCTAATTGGTTCGATCCCGTTGTACCTGAAATAGAATTTGGTTTGTGATGATCAATGGAGTTTTCCAAGTCTACTTGGTGTACCGAATTGCCCCTTTCACTCTGACAACAACCAACCGTCCATAGAAAGCATAGCCATGATCTTAAGTTTTTGTATTTTATGAAGAAACTTTCCATAAATTAAGCTTACAAACTAATTAAAAAAAAAGATCCCACGCTGCAACCGCATCAACGTCTCATGCCGACCAAGGCCAATCCAAGTGCTATGGTCACGGTGGCGCCCAGCGAGCTGGCGATGATTGCTCCTCCATTCTGGTAGCCATAGGATCCCGGGTAGCTGGGATCCGGCCGTACGCCCATGTAGCCCGGCTGTCCGGGCTGGCCCACCTGGTTGCCGTAGGAGAAGGGGCGACCGTGCTCGTCAGTGCCGCCCACGTAGTAGGCTCCATTACCGCCCGCTCCGCCGTAGGAGCCACGCGAATCGATGCCGGCATATCCGTAGCTGAACTGCGGATCCTGGCCACTCAGACTGCCCGGCGGATGCATCCCGCTGGACTGGGCGTTCGAATAGACGCCCACACCGGCCGCATTCCCATTGTTCCAGTGCACCGTTCCGGCCTGGGCTTCCACTGGATTCAAATACAAGTTAGTAAACAAGTTAGTTACAAGTTAGGTCATTTCCATCGGTCACAAAATACTCCGCCAAACTGAGTCCAAATATTATTACACATTTTATAACAAATAATCATAAAATGGCCTCAATTAAAAGTGTGCACATTTTTTAATACAAAAATATTTACACTGATAAAAAAAACAGTTTGTAAAACAAAAAAAAACAGAAAAAAGACGATTCATTGAAGCATATTAGATTGCTTGATTGCATATGACAATCATTTTATACTTAATTAAAATATGTGAAATCTGTGTTTTATTGCGTTTCGGAAAAATCAAAATATCGATGATTTGATGATAATATCCCAGTGCTTAATTCCTCGTCAGAAGTTGAAATACAAATTTGTTTACTTGGCACTGTCAAAATGGCTTGCAAGTGCCTCTGAGGCTTATATGTTTATTTATAGTAGGATGTGATTTTTAATATGCTTGAATTTATTGCGACCGTTTCACTCACCAGCACCAAAATTACCAAGTGCCAACGCGATCACATTGACGACCAGAACGCGATTGAAACTCAACATGTTTTCCGAATGCCCGTTTGACTCAAACTAAACCGCTGCCAAACTGCCGTTGACGGTTTTAAACTCGATTCCCAAGCGCGGCTCTCAGTCATTAGCAACAATAGCGATTTGCTGCCTGAGTCATCTTTGTTGGTGTCTGTTTACTCAGTTTGAATGGCGCTGTAGTTTTGGTGGGGTATGGTCGATATAGCACCATATTGAACATCCGCTCTTAAAACACTGACATATGTATCAGGAATCCCTGGGCATTAACTTATGAGCAACAGTGGAAAACTGGTAACCTTTTGGGGTAAAATGATAGCACTAGGTATCATATAGTTGAAACACAGCCTCAATTTTTCTTCTACAAGCTCAGACTTGGATTTATCTCTCTCTGTAAACAAATGAGCCCTTTAATGAAATACGGACTTAAAAAAATCTCCACGTGCATATTTTCTCTTCGATCATAAAAACATAAAACTGCGCTCGTAGCTTATTTCCAATTGAGAACACGCAACCAAAAGTGCTTCGATGTTCGAGTCTCGAGATGATTTTGTTTTGCTGTATAGAACACGATAATTGGTTGGCTCATTAATGATATGCACGACACGGGCCAGGGTCATCATGGGTTAAGGTGTGCTCCCATGTTGGTTTGCCCCAGAAGTCGAGATACATATGTAGATGTCAGTCTGCTTTGATGATCGCCCGAATTGCATTCGAGCCTTCGTTGATCTTTTATGCCCAAGTATATTTTGCATGCATATTTACGTAGTTACCTGAATTGTTGGCCATCCGTTTCGCACCTTTCAGGTATGCAGATGAGGGGCTTTGGGGGGCGGAGAAACAATGCAGGCGCGTTGTGGCTGCCATTCGACGGGAAATATATGTATGTACATAGAAAACGAAAAGCCCAACAATACAATTGGTGGGCAAGTGCGAATTGTTTGCTTTCTCAGTTGTGACGTAAAGCAATTTAGGTCGGCCGATAGGGTAATGCTCATGGAATCCATGCAGCGCGATTCGAAACTATTCAATAGCTTATGTTTGTATTTTTGTTGCTCTGCAGGAGGGCAGATAGTGAAATTGAATAGTGGCTTCTGCCATTCGACGGACATGTTCATTGACGACTATTCATACCCATTACTCGCACAGAAAAAGTGTGCATGACGTTTTCGACACGTGATTTGGAAAATGTTAAGAACGTTTTCGAGTTCGGTTGGATCTGAGAATCTGAGATTTCAAATCAAATGTTAAGCAAGCTGTTAATGTCGAAAATACTTAATATCGAAATACTCCATTACGAAATAAGAAAATAACATTAGATCTTTAATTATATCCTAATTTAGGCTTACAGATGATGCTGATTCTTCAATTTAAATATTTTAATCTAATTAGAATTTTTTTAGATACACTCAGTTGATAACTGTTTTGTCACATTTTATTACAATAAAATAATAAATTATGAAAACTTGGCTTGCCAAAGTTGCTCTCCGATTAATTGAGAATTTCGAAAATGGTTAGCTTGGATATTCGATTACGTGGGTTAAAGCGATATCCTATGAAAGGCAATGCGACTGGTTGGCAACTCGGCGCGCAGAGCGTTGCCACCAGGCAAACATATCCTGCGCAGTGGACCAAGTTCTCCGGCCAAGGTTCAACTCGCCCCTTCCTGCCCTGCATTTCTGCTATCTCTCTCTGTTTGTGTGTGTTTTGCTCACCTACTACGCTTGTGTTATGGTTTTTCCTTTTTCGGGGGAGTCCAACCACCCGCCTCCCAGCGCCGAGTGAAATTGGAGAGGAAAAGCTAGTTCGAGTGCGATTACCGCTGCTGCTGGTGCTGGAGCTGGTTGTCAGTGGCTCGAGTTGGCCGTGTTGGTGGATACCGTTGCCTTTTTGTGGCTCAGAGCGGTTTGTTTGCCCGCGAGCGGAATGCAGATAAGCGCGTTTTAAATGAATTACTGATCGGTCGAATGCCCAAACGCTATCGCAAGTGCAACAATAAACGGAAAAGGGTCGAGAAAAAGCGAGCGCAGGGAGCTGGAAAAATTGCATTGCCTTCTTTCTAGCGCACAAAGAAAATGAGCGCAAAGGTAGGCCAAGAGCGCGCCTCTCTTTCTCCGTATGCCTGTGTGTGTGTCTGCGTGTGTGTGTGTGCTGTATGTGTGTGCAATCAGAAGTCCCTCCCCCATTCCCACACCTTCCAAGCAGTGCGACTCAATGCTATAATTTCATTTAGCATTGAATAAATGCATCCCAGCCACGCCCCCTACATCTCACACATCTAAGCTGCTCCGATTTTATGGTCTTTGGTATACAGAAATTGAAAGGAAATGAAGTAGGGCTCCCAACGGGGCACCATATGGCATGTGGCATGTGGCATGTGGCAGTGGCAAGGATACGCGCAGGAAAATCGGGAAAGGAGGTGGCATAACGACGGATAATGGCGAGTCGAGAGCACTCATGCTACCAGATTTCAACTCAGTGCAGCTCAAGTGAAATTCCATTGTGGCGCTGCGGAATCCATACAGTTCTCATTTGTTGCCCTGCAAAAATTGCCATACAGAGCGTTTATGAACTCGCTGAATCCGAAGTAGGCACTATTGACTTTCAGACGGGCTCCGGTTCATTAGAACTCCTCTGGCTGCATTTGGTAGAATAGCAAATGGTGCTCAAGAACTCGGTTTATCATGTTCCATGGAGCCTAATGATGCATCATATCCAAAGCTGTTATGAATTTCTATTTTTCCTAAAGGCGCATTGAATAGTGCTTAAGACGTCATTCCTGTTGGCTTGCCCAGCAATGTTTTTCTCCCTTTTTCCAATTCATTAGCCCATTTGATTGGTGGCAAGAGGAGTGCTCGTTAGGCATTAAGCCATTTAATGCCTGTTTACATTCAACAGTCTGCTAAATGCCAGTTGGTGTGCAGCCTGTGTTTACATTGCGATGGAAAATCGTAGCTCGAAATAGTCCAGACTGAGAAATACCCCTTGCCTTATGCGTCTTAACAGCGGTGCTGCTAACTGTTCCTTGCAATACCCATTCATTTTGTTTTTGTATACCTATCATTTCGTCCCCATCTATCATATATTATTTATATCTGACACCAGATCACGTTCGTAAATCTATATCAGCTCCCACTGTGAGCCACATTAATGGGCAAACAAATCGAGTGCGAAAGCTATCAAATGGCGCCTTCCGACCCACGATCCCAAATCAACACTGGAATACTCGACATACAACTAATATAGAAATGTACATGAACAAGGCGAAATGTTTTGGTCTATTGCATTGTGTTAATTGAACACATATTCCCCTCCTTTCCATTAAACGTGCCTAGTATATCCGTTTCGGCTACATCTTGGCACATATTGCCCCAGCAAACACACACAGCCAGTCAATTAATTTGAGTACAATGCAAAACTATTCAATACAGATATTTTCTGCTTTCGGGCATCGCGGAATTGGGTGGTCGCAGAACTCGGAACTCGCAGTCCCTGAGTTCCAAAGCTCGCCGGGCTCGACCGCCAGTGCCTTGCGAGCGGTCATGGGCTAAGCACGGAAAGTATTGTTGCCGCGTCCCGTCGAAATTCCGAGAAATAAACACCACATAAACTACCACATACCGTGCTCCCCAAACACATATGTAGATTGCCAAAATGTGGCTTTCCGACTGTCGCTCGGTATGTGCGTGTTTCAGCTTGTATCTGTATCTCCATTTTAGTTGGGCGCTTTAGTTAGGCATTGAATGCTGACAAGTGGTTGAGTATGGTTTTTGTTTTGGTTAACCCTTGGGCGAAACAGCTCATAGTTTCAGACCTCTGGGATTCTTTCGCACAGATTTCGGTTGTTGAAGTAGTGCACAGATTTCAAAGGAACTCCTATCGCCGGTTTTATAAAAACCATTGATAAGAAAGTTTTATTTGAGAGCTCATTTTATATAAAGCACATATATATATTTATTTATACATATATGTATCATACAAACAGGAATTCACATTGCTGTTATCAAGGGAAAAGATTAAAGTTCATTTCTCAAGTAGTGGGGCTGGAGCACATTTTCTACTTATATTCTAATAGCTTGAGTAACTTCCGAAATGTTGTTACGACTATTGCATACGTAAGCGTGCAAAATAAATGCATACTATCTGAAAACCTTAAGCAAATGGAAACGTTGCATGTTATGTAGACAGTGCGGCTGCTGACACAAGGGTTAACACATTGAGTACATAGAATTGTCGGCATATGGAAATTGGCGGCAGTGGGGGATGTGAGAGAGATGTAAAGCACAAGGCGCTGAGTGAGCGCCTAAGAACGCACGGTATCTACACAATCCGAGCGGAAAAGCTTCGCTATGTATCTACGGATACACTGGGCCACTTATCAGATGCCCTACAGCCAGACATGCGATAGCAGAAAGCCGAGAGCAGCAACATAGATATCTAGATACGCGTTAGTAGACAACTTCATGGGATTCAACAACAATTCGATTCTCATTCCAGATGACACGCTACAAGCAGACCGAATTCACTGAAGACGACTCCAGTTCCATCGGCGGCATTCAATTGAACGAGGCGACCGGCCACACGGGCATGCAGATACGCTACCACACCGCCCGGGTATGTGAGAAACCGCTCCAGGGGAACCCCGCGCATATAACACCTCCTGTGCCATGCCATTCAGGCAGACAGCCACTTAGTCGGCGGTGGGCTCCGGCTTTATCTCTGTGGCAATGACCCAAAAACGAGTGGCGAATGGGGCCACCGTGAGCGCTTTTCTCATTTGCTCGAAGGTTGCCAGTTGCCAGTTGACAGTGAAAAGTCTGCTCTTGTGTGTGGGAGTGCGCTGGTGTGAGCTTTTCCCTCTGCGGACTCACATGCATTCCCTGCCACAAGATAGGGTCACGACGACTTCCAGAGGCGGTTCGTTGTGGGTACCAGTATATGGATGTTATTCCGTGGATATACGATAATTGGTTGTCCCCTTGTCCGTAATTCTATCACCTTTTCACTCGCTTTGGATACACTTTGCTTAATTATATTTTTCAAACATAAATTGTTAAGTGTTACATTTAATTTATTTTTGTGCCGACTTAAACTTACTTACGTTTGTGTTCGGAGAGTGTATTTCAGAGTCTGTGCGGTGAAACTTGTGAAAAACCATTTAATAGCCAAATTCCTTGGGGCCCCTCTCTCCGTCTGCAATATACATATAATATATGGAATTCTATATGGAATTAGCCGGCAAGTGCCTTATGCTTACGAGATTGATCCCATGTACAGACCGCCCAAATGTATACAAGTTTGAACTCATTTGAACCGCCGTCGTCTTGTTTACAAAACACAATTCGCTGGAAAAGATTTATGGGGAGGAATCTTTTGTGCCGCCATGGAGGCCAGAATGATTGGTGGCTAATGCGGCGTTCCCATTCCACAGGCTACATGGAATTGGCGCTCGAGAAACAAGACGGAGAAATGGCTGCTCATCACCACCTTCGTGATGGCCATCACGATCTTCACACTGCTGATTGTCCTTTTCACAGATGGCGGCAGCAGCGATGCGACCAAGCACGTCCTTCACGTCCAGCCGCACCAGAAAGGTAAACATGGGGTGGCAATAATCCTGGAATTTGCAATGATATTCAATCGTCTCCCTTACAGATTGTCCCTCGGGCAATGAGCTTCCCTGCTTGAACAAGCACTGCATCTTTGCCTCGAGCGAGATCCTCAAGTCCATCGACGTGACCGTGGATCCCTGCGATGACTTCTACGGATACTCCTGGTGAGTTAACTAAAAGTAATTAACATTTCTCAAGGAGTTCGAGTAACGATCTGGTTGGGTTGCAGTAATCAGTGGATCAAGAACAATCCCATTCCCGAGGGAAAATCCACGTGGGGCACTTTTGGCAAGCTGGAGCAGATGAACCAGCTGATAATACGCAACGTACTGGAGAAGCCGGCAAAGAGCTTCAAGTCGGACGCGGAACGGAAGGCCAAGATCTACTATGAATCCTGCCTGGATGCAGATGAGCACATGGAGAAGCTGGGGGCCAAGCCCATGAACGATCTCCTGCTGCAGATCGGGGGATGGAACGTGACCAAGAGCGGCTACAACGTGTCCAACTGGACGATGGGACACACTCTCAAGATTCTGCATAACAAGTGAGCTAACCAGGGTTTCCGATGGCGCTTTGTATAGCTACCATTCATGCATCTCGCAGATACAACTTCAACTGCCTGTTTGGCTGGGCCATCGGGGAGGACGACAAAAACTCCTCGCGTCACGTCATCCAGATCGACCAGGGCGGACTGACGCTGCCCACCGCCGACTACTACAACAACAAGACGGACAACCACCGCAAGGTGCTCAACGAGTACATTGAGTACATGACCAAGGTGTGCGTCCTACTCGGGGCCAACGAATCGGATGCGCGCGCCCAGATGATCGGCGTCATTAACTTCGAGAAGAAGCTGGCCAACATCACCATTCCGCTGGAGGATCGCCGCAACGAAGAGGCCATGTATCATCCGATGCAGCTGCGACAGTTGTCCAAGCTGGCGCCGTTCCTCAACTGGACGGATCACTTCGACAATGCCATGCAGATGGTGGGTCGGCGGGTTACCGACGACGAGGTGGTGGTCGTCTATGCACCCGACTTTCTCAAGAACCTATCGGACATCATCCTCAAGATGGAGCAGACCGAGGAGGGAAAAATGTGAGTGAACTCGAAACTTCAAGTTTCCGCGAGATACGTGAAGTGCGTGCACTGAATCTCTCATCTTTTCAGCACCTTGAACAACTATCTCGTCTGGCAGGCGGTACGCACGCTGACCAGTTGCTTATCGAAACCTTTCCGGGATGCCTATAAGGGCGTGAGGAAGGCCCTCATGGGCTCGGATGGCGGCGAGGAGATCTGGCGTTACTGCGTCTCGGACACGAACAATGTGGTTGGCTTCGCCGTGGGCGCCATCTTTGTGCGCCAGGCCTTCCACGGGGAGTCGAAGCCGGCGGCCGAGCAGATGATCGGCGAGATCCGCGGGGCCTTCAAGATGAATCTGCAGAACCTCACCTGGGTGGACAAGCAGACGCGGGAGAAAGCCATCGAGAAGGCCAACGAGATCTCGGATATGATCGGTTTCCCCGACTACATTCTGGACCCCGTCGAACTGGACAAGAAGTACGCGGAGTTGAACATCACGCCGAACGCCTACTTCGAGAACAACATCCAGGTGGCCATCTACAACCTAAAGAGCAACCTGAAGCGTCTCGACCAGCCGGTGAACAAGACCAACTGGGGCATGACCCCGCAGACGGTAAACGCCTACTACACGCCCACCAAGAACCAAATCGTCTTTCCCGCGGGCATCCTGCAGACGCCCTTCTTTGACATCAACAACCCCAAGAGCCTGAACTTCGGCGCCATGGGCGTGGTCATGGGCCACGAGCTGACCCACGCCTTCGATGACCAGGGGCGTGAATACGATAAGTTCGGCAACATCAATCGCTGGTGGGACTCCAAGAGCATCGAGCGGTTCAACGAAAAGTCCGAGTGCATAGCCCGCCAGTACAGTGGGTACAAGATGAACGGACGCACCCTCAACGGCAAGCAGACGCTGGGTGAGTACCCTTTAGGACTTAGGATGATCTATAGAAGATCTGTAGGAAGATATGTCGTGATCAGTAATGTCCGGAGTTCCAATAGATATCCAATCTTCCAATGTTCACCTCTGGGTTTAATGTGATCGCGCTGTTATAATTCCCAATTCTGCGGGGTGTCTTTAATGTAAAGTTAAATGAAATATCAAGTGTTAAGCGAGGCAATACGAAGCATCCAGAACTAGAACCACTATGTATCAAATGGTGTCTGCTTCTGCACTGAATTGTATTTATTCACTTAATCCGAACAGGAGAAAACATAGCCGACAATGGCGGTCTAAAGGCGGCCTACCACGCCTACCAGCGAACCAAGAGCGACCGGGATGTGGATGTCCTGAAGCTGCCGGGCCTGAATCTCACGCACTCGCAGCTCTTTTTTGTGTCCTTCGCCCAGGTGAGTGATTCAAAATGATTACCCAACTGCGTTACGCAACACTGAGTATTCGTGGTCATTCCTCCAGGTCTGGTGCTCCAGCACAACGGATGAAACGAACCTGCTGCAGATGGAGAAGGATCCGCACTCGCCGTCGCAGTTTCGGGTGATCGGCACATTGTCGAACATGAAGGAGTTCGCCGAGGTCTTCCAGTGCAAGCCCGGCCAACGGATGAATCCCACCGAGAAGTGCGAGGTGTGGTAAGGGGATAGCGCAATTTCGATCTCAGAACGAGCCAAAGATAGAGCCAAAGTCAAGGCCGAGCAACTGGACAGCCATTTGTGGTGCGGATGGTGGGACGCTGATGCAGACGCAGACGCAGACTGGGAGATACAGCCTCAAAGTGCTGGTCCTGTATTCCAGATTTTATTTTCTAAGTTGTGCCCTTTCGTAATTTTTTTTTTTTGCCCATTGTATTTTGTCGAAAGACCGTCAGTCATTGTGCCTATGAAAATGATAGAAACTGACGATAAATTCTCGTTCGAACTCCAAGGGGTCTGGAGTGGCGATCTATACATAATAGATCCTGGAGCAGGATCATGGGACCCTAACTACATTTGAATGTGAACGCACGAGCTACCAACTATATAGGGTGGGTGTGTGCTATAAAGCGAGATGCAGCACACAGCCAACGGGCTGATATATATAAATTTATATATAGATATGATAACGATAACGATAAACGATAACTGTAACTTAGCTATTTGTAGAACTTTGAATGTATATTGTATTATAAAGATACAAAGTTCGCAGCTCGTGTCCGAAGGAAAAGGGATTTCCTCCACTAAGATATACCTTTGAAAGAGTTGGAAAAATCTCAGTATTTTTTCTTAAACTACGATTATGTCGAAGTTCCTGAGTACGGGATAGGAATAAAATGGTGGGCAAGTGGATTGAAAGTGAATGTGAAAGAGATAGAGATATAGATTGAGAGGCGAACCGTTTTTAAGCTTTTCAGTTGCCAAAGTGAAGAGGAAATAACTGAGTGATTAAGTTTTTCGTCATCATAAGTTGGCAATTAAAGAAATTGTATTACAGTTGGAAAATAGGTAATTTTGATATATTTGTTTTATTTACGGGTTCCCTAAAATAGCTAATTGTAGTCGGTTTCAATTTGGTTTATTTCTTTGCCAAGCAGAAGCGAAATAGTCAAAGGCTGGAACTGGAATAAATAGAACACAAACACCAATTAATTAATAATCGCTCAGATATTGAGATATAAATAAACCAAATTGAACGGATTTTCTTTTGTACGAAAGAAAAACATATCAGACTTAGATGATGTGAACAAAAGCCAACACCAACCACGTATATCTATAGAATTTAACTAAGCACCACTCGGAATCAATCCAAATGTTAGCTATAAGATATAGAACATCCTCAAGCCGAATCAGTCAGAGCACAAATCTCCACTTTAGCTAGACAATATGGCCAAAAGAATTTTCGGTTCACTAGCCAGATTCTCAAGGGCATTTCCACTTATGTAGCTTCTGTTGTTATCCATATTTTCGATTCAGATTTCGATAAACGTACGTACGACGAATGCATTTATCTCTTCTTTTAGTTTTACCTTTCCCGAATCATTTATTTTGAAATGCTGGGAGTATCTGGAACAGAACACAATTTAGTTGATGTATTATATACAATGTGTTTATAGTTTTCCCTTATCATTTAGTAGAGGGGGAAACGGGGGTAGCAAGGGGATGTACTATTAAAACCCCTCTGTATCCATGGAGATATCAAGCAGATGATTTTTGTATTCTATATATGTACTATATGATAGATGAAGAAACGATAACTAAAATACAAATATTAAAAAATTATTATTATACAAACTACATATACATTAACTGAATGTTTAAATGCGAATTATTTTTATTGTCTATTACTAAAGTGTATATGTGCATGTATACATTTGCGAAAAAAACAATAAATAACCCTATAGTCGGGCGTCCCCACTAAGGGATATCCACTACTCAACACATAGTTACGAAATGCATTTGTCGGTGACCTTGGGGAAGGCCTATCTTCAGCTTCAATCATGATGGAAAAGTATAAAAGCCAAAAGCAAAGCACAAGCGTTGGATTTTCTGCTTTTGCGCGTCTGTTTTTGCTTTTGCTTTTGGCTTTGGCTTTTGCGCTGTTGCGCTTTTGCTTCCGCACTGTTGCTTTTGCTGTTGCATACATATATAAAATCAACGATGCATTCTCTACTGCGTCGTAGAAATTATACATAGTTCAACTTTTTACTCCATAAAGTTAATTTTCATTTAACACCCATGTTGCTCTGCCACCCTCTGAAAATTAAAGTTCAAAGTTTCGTTCTTCTGAAATTATGCGCGAGCTCATCATAAATAAATTGGCTCCATTCTAGAAACTTGTTTAGTCCCTTTTGATATTTCACTGTCCTAACTATCCTTTGAAAATTATAGTTGAGAGTCAAGTGTTGCCGATATGGCGTGTAAGTTCATCATAAATGAACTGCATTCATTTCGTTCACCACTGTTAAGTTATTACAGTGCGACTTCCACAGAGAATGCTGGCTTAAATATGGCGGGCACAAATTACAGAAATTTTCGTAGCTCCTGACTCTTAAATCGGTCGAACTTTGACTTTATGACAAAGTTCTAATAAACTTTTGGTGTTGTTGCGCTCCCAAGCTCGCACACTTGCACACTTACACACAGAGACACCCACACACTGGCAAACGTATGTGGATATACAGAAATGCCAGCAAATTGCTTACATAATAAATAATAATAATAGCGTGCGATTTTTAGCGCAATTTAAATTTATTTATGGCACTTGTTTGTTCGCATGTCAGGCGCAAGTTTTAGCCAGACATTTTTGCGCCCACAGAGAATCGACACACAGGTGGGGTGTTGGTGGTGCGGTGGCACTCTGTGGCTCTGTTGCTCGGTGGCTCGGTGGTTCTTTGGTGCGGTGGTTGTGCCAAAGGTGGGCCAGAGTTTGCTGGAGTCCTTCGTCGGATTTGCCTATTTTTATCATTGCGGCTTATCCCGGTTGCCTGGCATCCTAGCATTTTCGTTAGAGAATTCAAGCTGCTTAGTGGCGAGAGATGGCGATGTCGACTCATAAATCCTGCCTGCGGCATTGCCACAGCCATACAGTCAGGGATTGGATGGGGATGTAGATGTGGATGTCCTCGACCTGCCGTCTTATCGCATTCCCCGAATCGAGAACCCCACCCCATCCCTCCGGCAAGGACTCTGGGGTCAGATGGAGATGGGCTGCTTAAATGGCAATTAAGCCGCCGCACTTACTGACAGCTTCCTTTAGCTGCGGATTTATCCGTTGATTTTGTTGCTGGTCACCGAATGATGTCATCAGTGTGTCTGGGGCTAATTAATGCAATTCAGGCAATCCAGATAAAGGCAATGCATGCGGAATACAGCAAATGTTTGGGTCTCTTAGAGTGGAAATTAGCCATTAGACTTCAGCAGCTTGGACATTTTTACACCCGTTACTCGTAAAGTAAAAGGGTATACCAGGTTCGTTGAAGAGTATGTAAGAGGCAGAATTTCTACCGATATTCCAGAAAATTTTGAAATTTCTCGACTATTTTTTGCTATTTTAATTTTGTTTGCTATTTTGATTCGCTTAAATTATCCATGTTTGTCAGTTAATAGATGTAATCAATTTTTATTACTAATAATACTGTACAAAATCGACAATTTGAATTGCATGCAATGTGTTTCGTCCCTATTTGAAATTTGAATTCGCTGATATTCGCACGCTAATACGCAGTTATGTGTAATAAATTACCCATAATAGCTTATGAATATGGCCAATATGAATTTTAATTTCCCATGAATTAGGCTTACGAAACAACTTATTTACTGACAATATTTTATAGACTTTACTATATATGTGGAGTCACAGAAATCTGCGATGCTTTCAAGTGATTTAATTGGACGGAAGTGATTTCCGCGACACCCCTGTTATATGACTAATTCGGCACTTAAATGTAGTTAATAATGTTTGATTTTCAACGCAGGCCATTCGTCTTGCGGTTGTTATGCAATTTTCCTTGCTGTTTGAACGGAATCGTTTAAGCTGGAGCAAAGGCTTTAATTGCTTTCGAAAGTGCGCATTCCTCGGCGATTAGCATGATTAATGGGCAATGAAAACAAAACTATTTAAATGCCCGGCCAAATAACAAATGCTTAGCAATGAGTTGAGTGTAATTGCCATTAATATTGTTGCTATTATTATTATTATTCGTTATTCGTTGTTTATTATGCAGCCGAGTTATGCGAGAGTGGGTTTTGTGGTGGCAGGGTGCAAATATGCATATGTTTCGGCGTGGACATGTCCATAAAGCCCCCTTCTGCACTCACTCAGGCATTCATTTGCTCGTTTGTTTATTTATGTTAATTTAAATCAACATGCAAAAATTAGCACATGACACAAAGAGGATGTGGATGTGGATGTGGAAACGGGGCCGAGTGATGAGTGGGCGTAGGCGGAGATAAGTTCTGTGCGTTTGCAGCGTGGCTCGAAAACATTTAATTTATTTAATTACTTGCCCCTTAATTTGCATATTTAAATGAATTGCCGCAAAGCCAAGGCCAAGTGTTCGGCAGTGGGCAAAATTCCGGCTAATAACTAGATGACACGACGTCAAAAGGGCGCAGTCACCACATAATATACGAGTATAAATGTGTGTGAGCCTCCTCTAGGCCTCAAAATTGGGTGTACTTTGGCAGAAATACGCCTGAAGGCACCTTTTCGCAGCGGATCAAATGTTTGCATCCTCACGTTGTTTAAAGTCAACTTAAAGCACATTCGTAGTGACGAAGATCTCTCCATGTAGTTACGAAGTGCAACCCAAATTATACGCCAAACCGAAGTTGTAGATTTATTATTGGATTTGGTTATTATGGTAATCAGAAGTTTGTGATTGATTTTCCGTAATAAAAGCTTGTCTTATTGCTTCACGCAAGTGGTTATTTCCATTCGATTCTTGTATTCTCTTATTCTCTCATCGAAAGTTGTATTTTCAGTGAGGTTTCCATCGAGACATTAATTGCCCAAATTTCTCGCCAAATGCTTGGAGGGGCTTAAGGGGCAAAAATGAAATTTTAACCACAATACAACGATAAGTACACTTTTGGCTTTCGGTCGCAATGCGATGTTCTCTATGCGGGCAATAAAATAACAATCAACGCAAGCCGCGGTCGCCACTGAATGGTGGGGGTTTCCCCGAGGGGCTGGAAGGGGTTGCCATTGTGGGTGGTAGAGGCTTCTGAGGAGGAGGGTGTGGCAAGAAAACGATGACCAAACAAAGCAATATCAGCTAGCCATCAAATACCCTGTACAAAATAAAAGGATTTTATTTGATTTGATTTTGATTTAAACAAATTCTTGACGAGGTAAAAAGCTTGTGACGTTCGCACATAGAATATACAAAAGTTCTGATACCCATTAATGTGACGTAGAATGATTTTACATTCGCACAGCCAAATTAAAATGCAGCACTTCAATAAAATTAATTTAAGAGTACCTATATCGACGCATAGCCATATTTGCAAAGTAGGGTATCTAAAACAAAGGGGGGGAATGCGAAATTACCCGTACCCCAAAACTTTTCCTTCGGCCAACTTCGAACCATCTCCTTTGTGCCCGCCCAAAACTGATGATGCTCACTCCTCGGAGATCTGGGCGCACTTGCAGCCATTGGTTTGCAATGGAAAAGTTGTTGGGCATGCGCTGAAGCAAACTAATAAAATAAATTAAATCGTTTAATTGAAGTAAATTGCCTATAAAATTGCTTTTCGAAAGTATCCCAAAGAGTTTGTTGGGCGAGGGGTACTGGCTGGCTGGCAGGAATCCAGACCATAATTGAGTAATAAATTCAAATATTTATTGCATCAACAAATGTACAAATTGTGTTGCCGCATCCTGGGACTTCGAGTGTTAAGTGATCTCGGCGGCAGGAGAATAATGCCGGCTAGAGAGGATTTGGCCCATTTCAATTAAGTTCCCTACAAGTTAGGCAATCCTTTTCTAAGCTACACACATTTGCACTTTGTAGCATAAAAGGGCGGCGTGTGGACAGAGTTCGGGAGGGCGGGCCATCGGGACATCGGGGCATCGGGGCGTATGCGTAATATGCATAAATATTGAATGACTTTTTGGTGTGACATCAAGCGATGTGCACTCAACACTTAAACACACCCAGAGACAGTCGGGTCACAGTTTGCAGGAGGAGCGGGATATGTGGGAAAGTAAAGTGAAAGCGTATGTAAAATACTTTCACGCGCCCAGTGAATAATTTAAGAGGCGAGAACACAGAGCTCCGAGTGCGAGAGCTGTGCTGAAAATCCATCAAGTTTGCACCCCATCTTGGCCGCCCTCATCAAGCCACTCCACGGCCAAAAAATGAGTTACTTTACATAACTAAGTAATTTCCAAGCTGCCGGGAGCGGCACAAACGTAAAATTATTATAAACAAACCATTCGACAGTCGTAAAAAAGGAAACGCGCACAGGATACAAGGCACCAAAGTTGCCAGGATTCCACAATTCCGGGCTACAGACAAAAAGCCGCATAAAAGGTCCTCGCAAATTTTGTCATTATGCAAACATCGGCTGGCAGAGAGTATAAAATACAAAACATATTTAAATGCCATAAAGCAAAATGTGCGATGGGATGGACATGGATTGAGCTCTTACCAAATAGAAATTCTTGGAAGTACTGTTCGCAACCCACTAGCTGAAATTAACATGAATGAGTTGGATATTACTTCCAGGAATGACATATTTTCAGCGTATAAATGACATAAAATTAATGTAATATTTCTTAGAACCAGTTCAAATTAATATTTCGATTTGGGTTTCATTTGGACATACGCGTATACAGCTTTTATGGAACGATTTTAATTACTTTACCATGCCCAGAAATAATGAGCTAAAATGGTGTTTTTGGCAGGCAAAAACAATTGAGAATTGTAGCACAATTGG